AAAATCCCCTAGTAACTCCACAAGAAACCACAAACAACAACACTATCAACAATAAAATCACATATCGAGAACTAAAGTCGATACTAGAACTCAGCAAAAACACAAGTCCGGGGCCTGACTCTATTCCGAACATATTTCTTAAACAACTTCCATACAGACCTCGCAAATGCCTACTACGAATTTACAACTTAATTTGGACAGAAAAACAATTTCCCGACGAATGGAAACGAGCTATCGTTATTCCTGTATTGAAACCTAACAAAAACAAATATGAAAAAAACAGCTACAGACCTATTGCTCTAACATGCTGCATGTGCAAGATTCTAGAGAAAATAGTGAACAAGAGACTAAAATGGTATTTAGAAACGAATAACCTCCTAAACAAAGCCCAAAGTGGATTCAGAGAGAATTGCAGCACATCAGACTGCCTCGTAACACTGGAATCCAACATTTACGAATCTTTCGCACTAAAACACTACCTATTAACAATTTGCCTCGATATGAATAAAGCTTACGATCTACTATGGCGCCGCAAAATTCTCCAAACCTTCATTGACTTCAAAATTACAGGCCCTATATTTTACTTTATACAAAACTTTCTCACCAACAGAAGCATTCAAGTCCGAATCCACAACACACTATCGGAAGCAGTCCCAATAGAGAACGGAATACCGCAAGGCTCAGTTATTAGCGTAACTCTATTTCTCATCACTCTAAACGACATATTCCAACACATAAATGCTCCAATTCAGTGCACTACATTTGCAGACGACATTACCCTATTTTTAGAAGGAAAAAACATTAATACCAGCGTTAAAATCATGCAAAGTGGACTTAACAAGCTAAAGGAATTCGCAAACACGTCCGGATTCCAATTCTCACCCACAAAATGCCAAGCAATTTTATTTCAGAAACACGGAAACAACCAAGACATTAAATTACATATCGGAAAGGAACTCATACAAGTAGTCAACGAAGTAAAGATATTAGGCCTTATTTTCGATAAGAAGCTATCATGGAATTCTCATTTATCTTATCTAAAAAACCAATGCATCCGGAGAATGAACTTATTGAAAACACTATCAGCAAGAAACTGGGGAGCAAACCAACAAATAATCAAGAACACATATAAAGCTATAATCTAATCTAAACTAGATTACGGCTGCGTTGCTTACGAATCTGCAAATAAAAACTCACTAAATAGACTAAATGTATTACTACATGAAAGTATGAGATTAGCAACAGGAGCCTACAGGACTAGCCATGTAATCAGCATTCTCAGCGAAAGTAATATTCTCCCATTACACCTCAGACGTAAAAAAACAATCATGAATTATGTAATAAAAATTCTACACTCACAAAAAAACCAAGCATACCCTCTCCTCTTCAAAAACCGTAGTATTTACGACGATAACAAACCCAATCAAAAAAAACCGTTCTATTACCGAGCTTACAAACATCTCGCAAGTTATGGAATATTCTACGATCAATTCCTTCCATATATAATCTCACATTCAAACCAAACTCCTATGTTATAGGAAGATGAACTAACAACAGATCTATCTAATCACACAAGACAAGAACACTGCAACCACTCACAACCCACCTCAAACATCAACCACATATATACCGAGATCATTCCCTCAAACAACACTATTGGCGCAGCCGCCATTTTACCTAGCCAAGAAAAATTAATAATTAAACTCCCAAAATACTATGGACTTCAAGCAGCTCACGAAACCTTGATCCTGCACACACTAAACAATATCAACCTCACCATAAGAACAGTAATACATACAACAGCTGCAAAACTTATCAAACAACTCCAAAGCACTCATTCACAAAATACAATCATACAACATATAAATAAGATATTGAAAAACACAAAGAATAAAATAGGAATACAACTAATAAAAGTTAATGAAAACACACATACACAAAAAGCAGAATCCCTGACCAGCCAAGTAACACACGCCAATGAGGTAAAAATAAACAAAATAATTGGTCTCAAAATGATCAACCACAAAATTAACAGCGAAAACAACGCCAACTGGACAAATAGCACCAACAACAGTTCACTAAAAAAACTAAAAAAAGACGTTTTTCAAACAAATCCTGCAAACAATTTCAACAGAAGAGAACAAATTATAATAACCAGGCTCCGAATCGGACACACATCAATGACTCACCAACACATACTAAACAAATTGGAACCCCCGATATGTGAAAAATGTTCAACAAGAATTAACACTGAGCACATACTAATACAATGCTCAAAATATAAAAACGAACGCAAAAAGCACAAATTATTGAATGATATAACAAGCCTACTCAATAACCCAGATCAATGCAAAAAAGCTATAAAATATCTACAAGAAACCCAACTAATAAGCAAACTATAATAAAAAAAAAAAATTTCAATACACCACCGTAAACACCAGTTTGTATCCATCATATCAACAAAAATATCCTACAATATAGATTCAAACAAACACACATGTACCACAATCTTGTATTTAATTAATTTCAACTCTACTGAACAAACCAATTTATATAACTCTATAACAGAGTATCAATGTACCAATGTCGCTAATACCCATTAAGGGGGATGCGACTGTAAATAAATAAATAAAAAAAATAAATAAAATAAAATAAAAAAAAAAATTGAGTTCATCATTTAATTAGTAATTGAATTATTAGGTTAATATTATTAATTAGTTAATATTGTTAATTAGTTATGCAATTAAATAAATAAATATGATTCGTTACAGAAAATGATTTGCACACCATTTGTCCAATATCTTTACCCATTAAAATAATGTTTGCATTGATTTCCATGCGCGTGAAATCAAATTTATAAAAAAAATCATAATATGGTTAAATATGCAGTTTTACAATAAAATATCACGAAATATGGTAATTAATGGCCTATATTTTCTAATACTATTAATTATATACTAAGCCAAAAAATATGATATTTTAAGATATGCTTTCAATTAAAAAAAAAATTTTTTTTAGTATAGAAATTCAAGTTTTTAGGATTTACTCATATATAAGGTTGTATAAACGTTTAAATAAACATAGAATTAATATGTCTGAGCAATATTTGAAAAACATATAGGCAGTAGAGAATGTCTCCAATAATTGATGAACGGCGTTTAGTAAACTTTCAGTAACGTTTAGTCAGCTCAAAGAGCTACTAGCCAATGTTAATTTCGGAACGTCCAAATAATGTTCTGTTTGGAATAAGCTTGGATAATTTTCTCTACTCTAGTATTTCATTACAAACATTTGTCGAACGTTCTATAAACGCTGTGACCAGTTGAGTTGGGGTTAAGGGATCAGTATACACGAAATTCAAACATTTTATAAATACTTAATGAGTTGAATCGAATTATAGATTTGATATACGTTTATCACACATCTTATAAATATTTGGTTAGCTTTCTCGCCTCGTTGGTTGTGTGATAGACTTTTTTCGAACGTTTTTTAACTGATTTTAGATTATTCATATGACTGTTATTCCACAATAGATTCTATACGAACGTTTTGAATTTGACTACTCAAGTTAAAATAAATACAGGTTTTGAAGTTATCGTCAAAATTTCGCGTAATCAGAATGGTCAGTCGGAAAAGAAATATTTTTTTATTGTACTAAGTATATTTGCAATAAGATAATAAGTAAATGTTATTGCTTTATGAGATATGTACATGGAATTCGGAAGAATACTCCAATAAGTATTTTACCCTCCTGAAAATAGAGCATAAGATCTTGAGTAAGAACTTGCGTTAGAAATTGTTTAAGGAATACCATGAAAACTGATGCAAAAATTATTATGCAAGACCTATCGGTGGGTTTTCAACGCAAGAACTTGTGTAAGAAATTGTGTAAGAACTTGACTACTATTTAATTAAAAAAATTATTTTGATTATTACTTGAAAATAATTGATTATTTTATTTATGATTTTAAGGTTTTACGCTTGGGCCAATAATCAAGCATAATCGCTATACATATAATATAACGTTTCCTAAAAATTATCTAAAAATTATCCGGCAATCTAGAACTTATGGGATAGAGCATGTTAACGCACTGACTGATTTCTCTTATATAATTACCAATCATAATTTTGCTTGCTAGTTACAAGCAACTATACGAAATCAATGAACTATTTTCAAATCCATCTGCCTATGCATCTATAAACTAGTCCAAGAAATAGATTTGATTTTATTAGATCATTTATGTTTAGATAAATGACGTATTCGAAATTAGTACATTGATTTCCTATAGCTGCTTATAATAATTTTTGTAAAACGTTATATTATATGTATAGCAATTATCTTTGATTATCAGCACAAGCGTAGAACATTAAAATCATAAATAAAATAGTCAATTATTGTAAAATAATGATGAAAATGATTTTTTTAATTAAATAGTCATCAAGTTTATACGTAATTTTTTACGCAAGTTCTTACGTCGAAAATCCACCGACAGGTCTTGCTCTATTTTTAAGAGGGTATCTTTGTTTTAGAATGTATAAAAAAATTAGGATTTATTTATTCGTTCATTAATTTATGTTTTTTCTGGTATTTATGATGGTTGTTTTAAAAAGATTGCTTAATAAGTTTATTTGAGTGGCTTAGTAATCTGATGATATTTTTTGCGTAAAAATTTTTCATATAAACTGTTGGAACCTGTAGGTCATTTCAGATGATATCGTTTGGGACGAACCATAGGGCCCGTACGATAATACGTCCCATGTAGAAAAATTCGCTTACGTTTGAATAGAACTTTTGTGTATTTGAGTATACAAAAATTGGATTAGATATTGGCTTTAGTCGGTAGAATAAAAACGAACAATAAAAAAGTAATTACATTTTAATAATTTTTTTAGTAAGTAGAAAGTTTTATGAAAATAACTTAATTTTCATAACCTTACTTATACATTTAATGCTTACATATAAGTAAAAAATTAATGTTATTAGTAAAACATCTCCATATCATCTGTTAAAACACAACACTGAAATGTCGCCGTTAAAACTACATATTTAAAGCTATTAAGATGAATTTATGTAAATAAATTATGTTTGAAAATAAATAAATAGAATTTCATCCAGATTTATTCGTATAATTAAGTTTTAAGAGCTGTTGACGAAGGATGATGACTATCTTTGATTCATCAACGAACGTCCAGGTCTGCTTCTTAACAAAAGCTGCAGTGTGTACTGCAAAAATAGTAAAGCGTTATTAATTATCGATATTATAATAGCAATAACATATTACAAGTAATGATATAATTTTATTACCTAAAATTGCATTAATATCGTCAATATGAAGACCAGGCTTAACCTCAAGTTTTAGATCTTGCAAAACGATATTAGATGATTTTTTGTCGGTCAGACAGCATTTCAAAATCCATGTTCTTGATCATATTGCTTTTAGGTAAGAAATGTTTGTGCCTGATGTACTGGAAACCTTTTTTTTATTTGTACTATCGTCAGGTAACTTTAAAAAATCATCTTTCTCCACTTTTACATCAACTTTTCCATCAAACGTGTCATATTTTACTAATTTCTTAAGAGTTTTGGAACATCATTACTGTTATTTAACCTGCAAGTCATAAATTTTATTATGAATAATTACGGTTATTCATAAAATAATAAGCTGAAAATTACATAAATCATAATTCTCATGAGTTTATTCGAAAAAGACAAGACTGAAAATTTCTTCATAAAATCATCGTCCAATTCCGAGTTAAGTTTAAGATGGTTTGGGCATTTTTTATTGAAATGATAGAATATTCTAAAATTCAAAGATTATGCATATAAATTAAGTAGAATTATATTGCAATTAAGAAATATTATGGTTGACGAATTCGTTTTTGAAAAAATTGCTCCCAAAATATCATCAATTTAACACGTAACCTTTTGGGTAACGTTATAAAATCAATAACAATAATAATTTTGGAATTAAATGATGAACCTCAAAAATTCAAAATAAAAAATATGTATATTTTTATAAGAAATCTTTAGAGTTTTTAAGAACGTAGGGTGTGGCGGGGAACTTCGGGGGGTCTCAGGCACGCACTCCGAGTACTTCCGCCACAAGGCCTGATTGACCAGTTTCCCCCCGAATAAGGGTGCCAGACCGCCAATCCTAATTTACGGCGATCGTCGGGGGTAGGGTCTAAAAATGGCTACGTAGTTCTGTTTGCCCACTGTGCGACTGCGCAGAGTGGACCGGTTGTCGTCGTCATGTCGATTTCCTCTTCTCAGGCCAATGGTGCCCAACAATTGTCGATTTTATCCGTCCTCTCACGTCCTGGAACCATGCCCTGCCGGCAGCTCAGAATACGACTCCTCGTCTCAGGTCGGAGAGATTTGATATACGTTTATCACACATCTTATAAATATTTGGTTAGATTTCTCGCCTCGTTGGTTGCGTGATAGACTTTTTTCGAACGTTTTTTAAATGATTTTAGATTATTCATATGACTGTTATTCTACAATAGCGCGTAAGTTACCTAATACTCGGAACCAGAAATGTGAACAAAAGAATCCTCGCCATTGACCGTCCGCGGCCGAAAATAATATTAGCATGCAGGAAAGGATGGGTTAACGAAGCGTAAATAATGAAAATCGGTCACACTTCACTTTCCTTTATTCTGTAGCTAAGGCACAGGTATGGTTAGAATGGCGGATGGTCAGCGCGACTTGACGTGATTTAATGCGCGGCGGAAACAGATCCTCACGTTCCGGCGAATCAAATCTGCGATGATCTAATACGCTCGATCCCTAATTCGTAACTAATTCACACTGCACCTAGATGTCTAAATTCATTTTCGATTCGTTCACTCACGCTAGTTCAAAGAATGGCGGGTGGTCAGTGCAATTCGATCGGAGCACTATATTCCCGGCGTCGACGGATCCACACGTCGCGACGGGATTATTCGCACGAGAAATCACGCTCCGTATTTCGCAACTAGTACTAGTGAGTGGCACTTTGCCTACTTATAGATTACTGTTGAAGAAACCCGGCAAACTCAAGGTACTTTTCAGTGAATCTCGAATTTGCTTCCTACAGCGGTAGCGATCAGCGGCAAAATGGACGAGAAACGGCTTTTCGCGGTCAAAGATCCTTTTTCCTCACCTCTTTCGGAGAAGAAATTCTATTATTGGCCACTATTAGATATCGATACCGCCCTCCGAATATTTCGTCATTGGTCAATATACAAATTAGAAAAGTAACAGCGCCCTCATTTTATCTTCTACTTCGTCGCTATTTACCTTTTCTCCCCCCCCCCCCCCACTAAGACGGCCAGCATTAATTGATGAGAAGGATCTACCCCTACTCCTATTTATTTGTCGTTGCGGACGGAAATCAAATTTTATTCTAATTCGCTTATTGGTCCTGATGTCACCGGCGAGTTTCGTCAGAGGTTCAAATTTCATCAATCAATTTATCAATTTATTTCGTCAGATTGTTTGTCGCTTATTAATACACTTAAGTGATTATAGCAGCCGCATACAAGTATTTTATAATTTTTATTTTATTTTAGTATGTTCCATGTTCTAAATCGCATCGCTAGCTGTTTTGTTTCTAAGTTTCCCCTAATATGCCGCAATTGGTATTCTAGCAATATTTTATCAGAAGTTTAAATATAGTTTGAGTTAAAATAGAATTGCTTGTGAATTTTTCTTTTTTTTTATTTAAGAGTTTGACACTGGTAAAATAAAAAACACTATGTTATGAGAAAAAAGCACAAAGTGAGACACACACAAGTTGTCGAAAATAATTTTCGCATAAGAAATGATCACGTGATCACGCGAACTTTACGCGCGCACGCACGCGGAAGAATTTCCATACACACACATACTTGATTGATGATATCGGAGAGTTTTGGATAGTAGGTAGTAAAAGATAGGCGAAATCATATTAACTTGATATCGATGATATCATACAAATAGATAATAGGTAAGTAAGTAAGATCGTAGATTACTATATGTAATCACCGCGTGGCAAGGGCCACTCATTCGTTGTCATAGGTTGAATACGGTAAAATATTTGCGCAATACGTTGTTTTGCGTCTTTGGTATTGTTTTTTGTTGTCAATTTTAGTTGTAACGATCACTGATGTTATAAGATTATATTGAATTTCGTGGATAATCGCATGTGATATTTGCGATAGCTCTGCGCACACAATGGCCGCTCAAGCTGTACTGGCAACGGACAGAATGTCAAGCCGGCGCGAACCTGCAGAGAAACCGCGGCAGCCCGCTCGGTTGGTGGCGCTATCTCCCGCAGTTCTCTCCCAAGTTCGGCCATCGCGCACACACATACATACACACATGTGACGACGGAACACTAGCTATTTTGCAATGATACAATAATTGTATGTCGGTTTTATCTTCGTAGCGCCTTCATCATCGCATTTGCATTTTAATTAGTATGGTATTTATACTAGATCGCTCGCTTTCATATGGTCTATCACGCTTGCTCTTGTTTAGTCTGTCTCGCTCGCTCTCGCTTAGTCTATCTTGGTCGCTCTCGCTTAGTCGATATCGCTCTTCAAGATGGCTGCCCTCGGTCCCGCGTGTTAACCTTGTGCTCTGTTGCCAGTTTCTAAAGCGCCTCCTGGCGCGTTCCCCCTCGGTCGTGTGGTGTAAATGTGTACATGGGTGTTATCTGTGTGTGTGTGGCGCTCAGGATGTCCCCAATGGTGCGCAGTATCCTGACACAACTGATTTCCGGCTGTCGCTTCATCGACGATTTTCTGGTCACCACAGGTCTCGTCTCCAAAGTGTCCGTATCAGTGTCTGGAAGTGTAACGGGTCTGCATGTATCGCTAACATGCATTTCCGTTGCATTTCCCAGTCAAGTTTTCGTGTTTTTCTCTCCAGCCGGCAACATATGGTCAGGAGTGTGTGTACGTGTGTGTGCGTGTGCGCTCTCTTTTCCTCGTCGTGCGCTCAGTTTTTCACTCATTCGTCGGATCGCGTTCTTCGACTTGTTGCGTCGTTTTCTCTGGTATGGATAGTCGGATATGGAAATAAATTAGTGTCCGGATTAGGGCGCACGTCAGTCCGGCTGATTACGGGGTGGCAAGGGACGGAGATGGCTTTTCTGAGGTGTTGCAAATAGTGCAACACTGTAAGGGAAATCCTTGTAATGTACCGCATTGCAGAATCCCCACTAAGCTGGTACACTACCATGTGTACCGCTCGTTTGCTAAACTTTCCTTCGTTTTGCCGCCGCTTTCTCAGCTCACGTCAGTCGTCAGAAATTCTTATCTGTTGGGGGTTTCCCTCCTTGGTTCCATGGTCTGCTATGGTCGAAGTCCTGCATCTGCTTAATCTGCCTGGCTGCATCCTTCCTTCTACCTCCTTTTATTAACTAGGTTGGTTAAGGTCGGTCAGAAAAAGGTCAGGCTGCAAAAATAAAGGGCAGGTTGGTTATTTTAAGCCAGGACTTTTCCCTGGCATTTATTAAAATTTTCACCGATGTTGATGATCGACGCTGGCTGGGTTAATGGTACCCACGCTTGCGGGAGCAGTCGCGCCTCTCCGTGGCTACCATCTCCTGGAGGGTGCGCTGGAGCTTTTGTAGCTCCCTTAGGCGTAGGTCGGCGTCGGCCTCATCCTCGGAGGATCCCGGATTTTGGGCTTTCCGCACTAGATCCCACGCCCGCTCCTTTACCGATGGTCTGGCAGATGAGGCGGGAGATCTGGTACGGGGGGTATAGCCCCAGTACTGCCAGTCGGTCTTCTGGCCAGTGATCTCGTCCGGCCCCGAGTTGCCTCCTGGTATGATGGTGATAAGTCTTCCAGAACCGGGGGTCGGGTAGTTGGTCGCTGGTCCTCCGGGTGGCGGTGCCGGGTATATATATATATATATATATATATATATATATATATGTATAGAATAGTCAGCGTTTCGGTTAGCGTGTTGGTCAGAGCGTCGGTCAGTGTAATAGTCTGGTGGGCGTCTGTCCCATCCGGACCCGGAGGAGGTGGCTGGCAATAAACCCTCGCCTACCCGCTCACTCCGGCCGCCAGGCATGTGTCGAGGTCTCGGTGGGATAGATGGAGGGTCCACCGGAATACCTCTGCCAGGAAGTCGTGCCTCCACTCGTAAGCCTCGGCATATCTCGGGCAGTTAAAAATCTCTACACTTGTGCGACCACAATTCCCGCAGTACTGCCCCTCTTTAGGTCGTGGGCAGTTCCCAAAATTGTGGTCCAGTTGCCAGTAGTTAAAGCAGACGCGAAGCGGCGGATCAACGGTGAGGTCCGTCGGGATCTCCATCAATTGTTCGAATCCTGATCCCGTTCTTCGGGGCAGGATACCTCAGGATGGCATTTTTGTGGCGGTGTTCTGCCTGGACCGGTCCACGGGGAGTCTTGGCAGGTCATAATCGGACCCCTCCCCGGATGCATCGCTCGTACCCACCAGATCGTTCAGCTCGAGATGCCGCCACGGGTTATACTTACGGCATTTCCCACCGGCCGTCCGGTAGTGCAGGCCCTGAACTTCCGGCCTATCGACCGGATCCATCCTGGACGTGGTCTGTGTCGGTGTCGTCGCTATTGTGATCATCGTTGGTGCCAGAGT